TTGGTTGCAGCCGTCATTGTTGTTTGGCGGGTCCGGGCTGGGGATTTGAACCCGCCACCTTAGGTGTACATGGCTGGCGCCTTAGCCGGTTGAGCCACAGGCGCCGAGCCTATCAATCCTTATTAAACTGATGTGTAGGCCGAATAGTGGATGGTCCTACATTGATACTAAAAACTGATAAAATCTTTTCTAAGGTTTTTAATTAAAATGAATTTAATATTAAAGATTTCCAGGACAGGACATATAGTACTTACAAGATGAGGGCTGTTCTGTGTTTGTTTTATAGGAGGACAAGGACACGGATTCCACCAAAGAGCCTCTGGATGACCTTTTCCCCAATGATGAGGACGACCCAGGACAAGGCAGTGAGTGAAGAGCCATGTGGGCGTGTGGCCACGTGTGTGGGAGGTGGGGGTCCCGGGGCCTTAGGATTTGTAGCCTGCCTCGGATGCACGCGCATAGCAGGACTGAGTTTTGTTTTCCAACAGAATTTAAAACTGATTTTGTTTGTAGGGAATATGTTAGAGCAGATTTTCAGGCACAGGGTGTCCTACACAGTCTGGGGTGGTCGGTGGGTTCAGAGTAAAGAAGCAGTGTCACTTCATTCTGCCACATTCATGGTGCCCATAGAAGTCTTCTGGCCCTCAGTGGGTGTGGTACCATCCTTCACAAGTTACTGCTGTTACCTTGCCTGCCTAGGCAGTACTAGGAAGAGATTGCAACAGCACCAGGGCCAAAGCTAGCGAAGATGGGTGCTGACTCGCCCTCTGACGGGAGATTCTCTGTGCAGTCCAGCAGCAGCACAGCAGCGCTGCTGCGGCTGCCCAGCAGGGTGGCTACGAGATCCCGGCACGGCTGCGCACACTGCACAACCTGGTGATCCAGTACGCCTCGCAGGGCCGCTACGAGGTGGCCGTGCCCCTTTGCAAGCAGGCGTTGGAGGATCTGGAGAAGACTTCAGGACATGACCACCCAGACGTGGCCACCATGCTGAACATCCTGGCCTTGGTGTACAGGCTAGTCATTTTCATTTATCTATTGGATTTTACCTGTCGACAATTTTTTTAACCAACTTACCCCTTAAAAATATTTTTTTTAAGTAAATCTGTATAATCTATTTTTTAACCTTATTTACTTTTCTTTAAAACAGCCCTGGGTGGCTCGGTGCCTGTAGCTCAGACGGCTAGGGTGCCAGCCACATACACCTGAGCTGGAGGATTCGAATCCAGCCCGGGCCCGCCAAACAACAATGATGGCTGCAACCAAAAAAAAAAAATGGCTGGGTGTTGTGGCAGGCGCCTGTGGTCCCAGCTGCTTGGGAGGCGGAGGCAGGAGACTTGCTTGAGCTCAGGAGTTTGAGGTTGCTGTGAGCTGTGATGCCACAGCACTCTACCCAGGGCAACAGCTTGAGGCTCTGTCTCAAAAAAACAAAAACAAAAACCAGCCCTGGGTTATGGCAGTGCCTGTGGCTCAAAAGAATAGGGTGTCAGCCCCATATGCCAGACCGGAGATGGTGGGTTCAAAACCAGCCCCGGCCAAAAATTGCAAAAAAACAAAAACAAAAACCCAGCCCTGGTTTAAATTTAAAATACATAGCAAACTGTGTGATAAGGGTGTCACCAAGTCAGAGCAGATGCTGCTTTTCTGTAATAGTCCACACGCAGCAGCCTTCACTCTGGCCAGACCAAGGTATTTTCACTTTTACCCTCACAACTCTCTGTACTGTGGTTCCTTTTATTTTTGAGACAGAGTCTTACTTGGTCACCCTTGGTAGAATGCCATGGCATCACAGCTCTTGGGCTCAAGCGATTGTCTTGCCTCTGCCTCCTAAGTATCTAGACTACGGGCTCCACAATGCCTGGCTATTTTTAGAGACGGGGTCCCGCTCAGGCTGGTCTCAAACCTGTGAACTCAGATGATCCACCAGCCTCAGCCTCCCAGAGTGCTGGGGTTACAGGGTGAGCCACTGTGCCTGGCTGCACTGGGCTTCTTTTGTCTGGACTATCCTTCCCACTTTGCCAGTGTCCTTCTAGGGATATCCATGTTGACAAAAGATATTTGTTGGTATCCTTCCAAGGGCCTGGTTAACTTTGTCTACTGGAAGTCAGAATTCCACCTGACCTTTGCCCCTTGAGTGTTCATCTCTGCGGAGGGTGTGGGTGAGAGGAGTGACTTTGGGTACCTGAGACAGAATGGGGCTGGAGTTTGGAGACAGGGCTGCTGTTGGGGTTTGTGTGTGGTCATGCGGGTGTGGAGATGGGCACCTGAGGAAGGGTGGGGGGGGGTGGAGGAGAGGTGCCTGAGAAATGCAGGAATACAGCCGTCTGAGTGGGGACGGCTTTTCTTCTTCTTCTTTTTTTTTTTTTGTCACCGTTACCCATGCTGGAGTGCAGTGGTGTGTCATAGCTCACTGCAACCTCAAACTTCTGGGCTCAAACAACCTTCCTGCCTTACTCAGCTTCCCCAGTAGCTGGGACTACAGGTGTGCACCGCCGTCCTTGGCTAATTAAAAATAAATTTTGGGGAGATGGGTTACCCTACCCTTAGTGGAAGCCATCTTCTTGCCTTGACTTTCCAGAGTGCTAGGATTATGGACGTGAGCCACTGTGCCTGGCCTAACGATTTCTTTACGGAGAATTTTGAAAGTCAGTTTTTTAAAGAAAAACAGACAAAAGAGACGTTCTTAAAGACACATCTTAAAATGGGCTGGTGCTCTGCGGCCCTCGCTTATTAGCAGCTGATCTTTTCCATGACTGTGTAGGTTGCTATTTTGTGCTTATCCCAGACATTTTCCTGTTGGTGGACATCAAGATCATTCTCAGAGTTTTAGTATAGGAATTCTTTTTTTTTTTTTTTTTTTTTTTGAGACAGAGCCTCAA